GACCAACAGCAGCCCCTCCAGAAATGCCTACACAAACCCAGCTTTCTGTGGTTCTGCTCAAAGCCAAATTCAAAACCAGCCACCATGACCCTAAAACCTCTGCGATGCCTCCCACAGAGGAAGCTTTGCTTCACAGCCTGCTACCATTGCTGTGTCCCAAGAACCCAATTTGATTTCCATCTGCTGCTTTTTCCTCAGTTCATGTTTCTCTCTTTTTACTGCCTGCCAAAACCAATGTGGGATGAGGATGTGGAGCTGCAGGAAACGTGGGTGGTTTGGTTGAAGGCAAGCAAGATCACGTGAGGTCATGGTCCCCAGAGGAGAGGCTCTGCAGCAGGTGAAGAGCTTGCTTCACAAGCTGCTTGAGACTTGCCTGCCTGGCATTAACCAAAAGGGAGGTGCATCTGTCATGGAGAAGAGAAATCTTGAGGGAAGGGGTGTGGGAACAGGCATCATGCTCCCTTCCAGGGAATGCAAGGAGAGCAAGAGGCCACCAGGATACAGGAATTGCTTCCCTGTGGTTGATTTGCTGGGCAGGCTGAAGGAGCTCAGTGGTTCAGGGGACACACTTGGTCCCACTTAGCCACCCAGTGCTGGGAACCTGCAGAGGTGGCAGTAGGAAAGGGAGTGAGGGGGCTGGGCAGGGAGAGCCCAGCCCTGTAATTTCAGTTCTGGGTTTTGCAAGGGAAGAGCTTTGGAAAGCTGAGGAGAAAAAGAAGGAAATGGCAGAGGTAGGACAGGGACAGAGGGTTTTGTGTGAAGCTGTAAGTCCTCCATGGGTCCATCTGAGGACTCCTGGTCCTCTCCTCAAAGGGCATTCTGGGCTGCTCATGCTGCTGGGCTGGCTAGAGCTATGCAGGCCATTTGGTTCCTGTGGGGCACCCCAGATTCTGCAGGGAGGGCTTGTCCCAGCCTGATCACCTTCCTGGTCATTGCACAGCCAGGGGCATGTGGCTGGAAGGTCCCTCCCCATTGCCCCACTGCCCCGCATCCTGGTGAAGCCAAGCTTGGGAAAGCCCTGTTTCCTGGTAAATGCAGTACCTGTGGGCCCTGGGAGAGGCAACTGGGCTTGAGGATCATTTACTGCTGAGCAGCACCAATACAGCCTTCCCAAAGCCCCTCAGCTTTTGCTGAAGATGCTCTAAAATTTCCTCCCCCTTTTCCCAGGCCACCAGCACTGGGATGTCGGTCCAGCCCCAGCACAAGACCCCAGGACCCGCATCCCACTCCCTCCGGTACAGGTAGTGGAGAAGTCCTTACCTAATGGTGATGCTGGGATGGGACAGCTGCTGGCGCATTCGATTAAACTGTCTTTTCATCATCTTGAGAGTCAGGAGGAGACCACAAAAGCTGCTCTGCTGGCTGTACCCACTCAGCTCCCCTCGGTAATGCTTGGCATTGGATGCTTGCAGCCCTTCTTCTCCCCGGAGCCACTTCGCTTTTCCCAAAGGAGCTCTCCCTCCTTATTCCTCTTCCTCGTTCCCTCTTTTTCAGTTTCCCCAGCTTGTCCCCTCCCTAGTCCCCCCCATGGGATGCCCTCCCTGCCTGCTTTCTTTTCCCCTCCCTTTGCTCGATCCCTCTCCTTTTCTGAGCTTCCTTCCTCCTCCGTCCGCCCCTCCGCCGCAGATCAGGTAAGAACAGTTCAGAGCTCCTGCTCCGTTCTGTGTTCCCGTCACCACCCCACGAGTAAAAATAACTTCAGCCCAGCCTTAAAGGGGAAATTTTATTACAGCATACACATAACAAGGCAGGACAAGCACATGCCGCTGCCGAGCCCGAGTGAAGGGCCCACGCTCTTTCTGTCTCAGCTGGGGTGGTTCCCCTTCCGTCCCGTGCCCACCGTCAGCCGTGCTGCGGGGCAGCCCGTACCGGTGCCAGCTGGCTGTGCGGCTCACACAGGGCACCTGATGTAACACCCTGCCCTACCTGGTCACCCAACTCTGCCAACACTCCTCAGGCACCTCTCCATGCTCACGGCTGCAGCTCCATCTTCTTCCCCAGCGACACACTCCCTTCTTGTGATAAAAGCAGCAAAGCTACTCCTGCACCGTCCCTGCGCCCCTCACCCTGCTTTCCCTCCCTGCCGTCGCTGACTCTCCAGAACCACCACAAAGCTGTGGCCGGGGGCTGTTGCCTTGTGCACTGGGGAGGTCCCTCCCCCCCGCTCGCAGAGTTCCTCCGAGCAGGGGCAGCAGCACCCGCTGTTGCACGGGGACCGCAAACTCCCGGTTCTCAGGCTCGGCTGTTGCCTGCAGTCTGCTTTTTCTTTTTTTTTTTTTCGAAAATCATCCACTTCACACCATCACGACTTTTGGTCCTGACTCTGTGAGATGTAAATCTGACCTTATTTCTGGCTACTTGCAGATCGGACTTTCCGCCTGCACTAAGAGAGAGCAAGAGGTTGCTGTTGGCTGGGTTACATAGCTGGCAAAGGAAGTAGCAAACCAAGCCAAAATGAGAAGCGGTCAGCTCGTGGGCAGAAGAGGCAAGCAGCAAAGGAAAACGAGGTGGAACGGCTACTCCATCTGCACCCTGAAGCTGCAAGAGTAAAAATTTGGGGGCTGCTAGGTTGTACTTCCTGGCAAGGGTCAAGTCTCCGGTTACTGCACAGCAAAGTGGTGCTGGTAGCTGTTTTCAAGTGGTTATGGGGTGACAGCACCACTCTCTCCCCGCCCAAAACACCAGGCTGTTCTAAACCTGTGGCAGAGCACATCTGATCCCTCACCATCGAGTCTCGGACGTGCTCCTAACAAGCAGTTGCTTCAAGGACCTGTTGCAAAGATGCAAAAATGTTGCAAAGATGCAAAGCTCTCCCAGATCCTCACTGAGTGCTTCAAGGGGGGGCTAGGCCATTCCCTAGATGCGGTATCAGAGCTGCTCCCAGCCCTGGGCTGCTGCTTGCCAGAGGAGATCCCCCTTTGCACCCCTGAATAAAACTGCCTCATGGAGCTGCTTCCAAGTGCTACAACCAGCAGTGGAAACTGCAGTCCTGTGGGGCATAGTGGGGCATGGGAGCGAGCTCAAGCCCTGCTGCCTGGGGGCTGTCAGGCACAGATTGCTGCCCACTGCCTCTCCAGGGGGTGCGAGGGAAATGGGCAGCACCCAGTTCACAGCCTGGAAGTGACTGCTCTCAAAAACGGAATTGAGAACTGCTGGGGGAATTCCACCATCCCTGCTCATGGGAGCAGGGAAATCATTGTGGCAAGGGCCTGAGTGACTGAGGGATGAACTACAGGACTGAAGGGGCGGGATTTGAGCTGGGCAGGGTGCAGAGAAGCTCCTCAGGGGTCGGGGAAAGTAAGGGGGAAATTGCATTCCTTGGGTCACAAGTCAGGAGCAGGATCAGGAAAGAAATCTTTATTTCCCATAAATACAGCAGATTCTTCGCGCCGGGCGTCTCATTTTAAATGTTTGTTTGTTTTCTTCCATTTACAGAATTTTGCACTGAAAATATATACAAGTCTATTCAAGAACCAAACAAGATCTGCAAAGAAAAAACCCATACAAAACCCTGAAGAGATGGGAAAGGGAAGTAAGACACAGCAGAATCCCAGCATAGAGACCTTGCTTCCCCCTCTCCTTTACTGCCTGCTGTGCCCAGCTCTGAGACATGTCACCTTTGCTGCCCCGAGCCAGGAGTGCAGGGCACCCTGCTCCATCTCACACATGCTTCCTTCTACCACTGGCAAGCCAATGCAGAACACAGCTTGCCTCTGCTTTTTTATGATCAGGCCCTCTCCAAACCAGCTTAGGGATGGGAAGCAGCTCCCATGGTTTTAAGTCCCATGGGGTTAGCGATTGCATGGGATGTGCTATCTTCAGTCTCCTCTGTGCCTGCAGATCCCAGCTCTTGTGTCACAGTGATCAGGCGGCTGGAGCGAGCCCCCTCCCCGCCACAGGGAGCCAGGCCCACCCTCAACTGCAGCAAAGGTGCACAAGGCACAGCTGAACCCCCCCACGCCCCAGTGCAGAGTTTTGTGGTGATGAGCTGGGCTCTCATCTCCTCCTGACTCTCACCCCCCCTCTGTCCCCCCTCTGTGAGAGGACACTGAGAAGCTGAGAAACCCCCCAGACCCACCAAGCTCTCCAGCCCAGCCAGGGAAAGGAAGTCTAACTGCTGCTTCCTCTCCCCATCTGGCAGGAGACTGCAGGGAGACTCAACCCGGTTCCCAAAGCTTCTTGTGATAGATAAAGCCTGTGGGAATGGTGTAGGCTTCCCTGTTGCAGGGTTCAGAACACCAGCTGAAGGGGCCGAGAAGGCACAGAGCAAGCCTTTCCCAGCCCCTGAGGCCCCACCCTGGGGCCCACCTCCCACCAACAGCTCTGTGAGCAGCTAGGACAGAGATATGTGATGATCACTCCCCCTAACCCCCCCCCCCCCCCCCCCACGACAGCCGTCTCCTCTCCG